CAGTGAAGACTGAATCTTCAGCATTTGCAAACCAACTGGATGCATGGACTGGGAACTGGGAGAAAGGGGGAGGGAGGGAAGGGGAGAGGGAAGGATGGTGAAAGCTCCTCTCCCTGCCTCTTGTCCCTGACCAAGGATCCCCCAGGAACTTCTGGCCCCAAGGTTCAGGTTCTGTCCTGGGTAACTCGCAGGGCTGCTGTGAGGACCAAACAAATCAACATTCATGGGAAATTTCCCAAAAGTATAAGCTCTTACTCCAAACTACGACCTGTTAATATTTCTACCTATGCGCTTGGCTTATCTTAATCTTGCTTTATCATTAAGCACGATTTGTCCCACAGGGTTCTGAGAATGAAATTCAGACCCACCACTTGTAAAACAAACGTATTCAGCCCCGGGGCAATTCAGGAGCGAAAGAGTATTTTTAGGCAGTTCTTAAGGGTCCAAATATGGTGCGTTCACCTTTGGCTAAAACAACATAGAAGCGCTTTAGCAGTTGTGGGCGGGGGTAAAGAGGGCCACGTTACAATGGGACCAGGCAATGGAACTAATTTTCTACATGCAGTTGCTGTGGGAATTAAACTTCAGAGGTTTTGATAAATATGACAGCTACATTTTGGTGAATTCAACAATAAAGGACCGAAGTGACAGCTAATTATAATGGATGCTTGAGCTGTAACACTTGAAGTATGCAGAATGATTTATAGGTATAAGAGTAGCATTCTCGCAGGTCACTGTATCAAGATAATACGTTCCAATTTTTCCCAATTAGAAAATGAAAGCAGAGAAGTAAGAAAAATGGGGCAGTACAATTCATCTACGTGAATCTTTTAAAATATAGTCGTTAAAATAAATGCATTGCTTAGTTAGGGCTGACTAAGCCCTCAAAGAAATCCGGTGAAACATTTTAAATAAACTTTTGTGGAAGGAAATGAAATCTGTACGTGTATATTCAATGAACTTTGCCCATAGAGTTTTACCTCAATATTAAATACAGAACAAAACAAAACTCCATAGGTTTTTTTTGTTTTTGCTTTTAAAATATATCTTTACTGATTTCAGAGAGAGGAAGGGAGAGTTGAAACAACAATGATGAGAGTCATTGATCGGCTGCTTCCTGAACGCCCCCCACTGGGGATCAAGCCCGCAACCTGGGCATGTGCCCTGACCGGGAATCGAACCGAGATCTCCTGGATCCTAGGTCAACGCTCAACCACTGGGCCACGCCCGGCCGGGCAAAACTCCATAGTTTAAAGTGCTAGTTTTCTGCATATAAAATTTTATTTTTTATAATGAATAATATATTCTCAACCATCATGAGGGCAATGTCAGAAATGTTGCTAAATTGATGTGGACCAGAGTTGGGGGGAGGTCACCAGTCTTCACCAAGCCCAACATACAGAGCAAAGTCCATCTGGGGAGGCTACTTTTGAAGTGTTGCATGGAATTTTAGGCATCATATTTTAAGAGGAACTTTAACCAAATGGATGATGTCTAGAAAAAAAGGGGCCAAGATAAAAAAAAAAAAATCTCAAGACATGTCACATGAGGAGCCATCGTGGATATTGCAGGTGATCATGCCCTTTAGAATACGGGTTGGACATTGTGGTGATTGCGGGGGGGGGAAGAAGGCATAGGGCGGATAAATGGTGATGGGAAAATAAAATTTAAAAAATTTGTAAAAATAGACTAAGGTTGGAGGTACATGAGGGAGAATTTTGGAAATAAGTGGGAACGACCTATTGACTAAATCTCGTCATGGGAGAGCAAACAGAAAAGAGGGCAAATGGGGCTCTTACTTCTTCTTGTAATTGCACAAGTTGAGCCTATTTTATAACATAATGAACTAGCTTTGTGAGAATGTCTCCCACGGGAGACCAGGAGAGAGGCTTTCTATGTAAACTCTTTTGAACGGTGTTATCTGCCAAACTTTTACTTTAGAAATTGTCAAAAAGAAGCATAACTTTGTCATTGAAAATGCAGTCTGCTAATACATTTCTTTGTAAGAAGCAGCATCTTCCATTCCCTCATTTACTTTAAATTAGCATTTTCCCTCTTTTACCCTCTCCCACCTCCTGTGCCCCTGAAGCTTAGATAATTTTATTAACCAATAAATTCAATTAAAACCCAATAAATTCAATTAAAAACTTTATTCAATGGAGAAGAAATATAAAAATAAATAAAAGGCATAGGCCAGCAAAAACCACCTTTCTGTGCAGCCTCGGTAGTCTTCTAAATCAACACTAGGAGAATTAATTGCTCCTTTGTTTCCCTTCATTATTGCCTAAGAAGTATTAATTATTCTCTGCTGGACCTGCAGTTGAACTGCCTTTTGCTTTGGTTTCTCTTCATGTTGGTTCTGATATCTAGTTATCCGCACTGACAATGTGCCACTTTCCTAGGAGCTAAGACACATCTTTAGAACCTCATAAATTCTGAGGGAAATGTCAGCATAGTGTTAGCCGGATGTGCTGTAAGAACAGTGACCTCCTCCTGCCCACCAGCACGCCCACTGGGTCTACAAAACCATTCTTCAGTCCTTTGTTCTTTTAATTGAAAGAGAGACTAGAAGAGGCAATGAAAGACTTAGCACCCTTTCTCCTGGCTGCTGATGTGCGGCTATGACTTCAACCTCTAGGGAGGCTTGAAAGAAATCTGGGCTTGGCAGAGGCAGAGGGAGTGTAGCTCTCCCTAATATCCCACCAAACCGTTATCGTCAGAAATAGCAGCTATGATGAAATCAGTAGTTTTGGATTGAATTTGTCACTTGGAAAATGGATTATAATTCTTCATGCAATTGTTAGCCTCACACTCACCTCTGCTCAAGTTAAAATCTGTTCTAACGCAGGGGTCCTGCTGTGCAGAGTTTTATGTCACACTGAGGTAGACCAAGAAAAGCCCCACATAGTCAAGCACAGTTGAAAGGGAAACTAATTTGCCCGGCCGGTGTGGCTCAGCGGTTGAGCATCCACCTAGGATCCAGGAGATCGTGGTTCGATTCCCGGTCAGGGAGCAGGCCCGGGTTGCGGGCTCGATCCCCAGAAGGGGGCGTGCAGGAGGCAGCCGGTCCATGACTCTCTCATCATTCATGTTTCTCTCTCCCTCTCCCTTCCTCTCTCTGAAGTCAATAAAGGTACATTTAAAAAAAACAAGAGAGAAACTAATTTCAGATAAATGATTAAGTGCAATAACATGATCCCAAATACAAAGCATTTGTGCATAAGTGTGGAGAGGAGACAAGTCTCCAGTAGGTTAGCAGTTGACCAGCAGATGCAGGGGAGCTAATGAGCTAATGGGATTTTAAATGTTCATTCAAAAGAGTTTAAAATCCCTCTCCCTCCTCAGCTATGTCTCCTCTCCACCCCATCAAAGAATATACATAGTCCCTTCCAGGAGCAAAATAGGAAAGATTGTTGAAAGGACAGAAACAAGACTTATTTTAGTTTTTGGGTTTGGTTTAGCAGCAGAGAGATGAGAAAATGGCAACCTTAGGCTGATTCATACCCGAGTCCCACGTTGCCAGGAATAAAATGACAGATTTTGCCAACCTACCCATCAACCTAAAGACTCTGGGAAGCAAATCCAGGTTCCAGTGAAGACAGCAGAGCAGGCCGGCGCTGTGCTCGCCTCCTCCCAGGACCACATCAAAAACCCAGCTGAATTACAGAACAAACAACCTGGAGGACCATCTGCAGACGAGCTGACCGAGTGCCTGCTTCCCAACAGGTTAGAGAGCATTTTACTGTTACAGGCGAGCAGAGCAACAACAGGATCTGTCTGGGTTTTATTTTCCAATACCATCTTCATTTGGGAGATGGAAATAATATCCACCCTCAGGTTGCTATGAAAAAGGAACGAGTAGACGCAATGCTACTAACATGGTGTCCAGCATGTAAATAGCAGACTTTTAGGGGGGAAAATGAAGCAAAAATGTCTTCTACTCACCTCCTCCCAATTCCTCCACCCAAGTGAAGTCTAACCTGTTATTAAATTTATAACCATCAGAAGAATGCAGATTTCTACAGAAGTCCCACATGGCCTAAAATCACTGGTGGCTGAATAAGAAAGGAAATATAATTTGATGGTGGGGAAGGGAATCTTCAAAAAACAGCAAAATTTGCAGAATTTATATATAATCAATACTGTTACAGAACCAATTTTATCTATTTCTTAGAGGTGATCCAACTGAAAACTTCTGGGCAAAGGATGCTTATGATTAGCTTTCTGTAAGTACAGAAAAGCAAAAGATGAACTCAGATACTTCCATAAATTAGTCTATTTTTCTCTAAATATTCTAAATTAACGAGGCTTTCTACTATTATCACTTTACTTCTTATTTCAGAGGTAAGCCAAAGTTGTTATAATCAATATTTTTTTATATGTGTGTTTGAAGGGACTTCAGGCATGAGATATACAAAATCAAAATTTGTATTTTCCATATTAGATTTATTAAAAGGGTAACACAAATTACCATTCTAAAACATAGTATACTACACAGAATGTACTACACGTTTCCCTCTGTCTCCTAGATTACGGAATCTGATCCTGGAAATTTAGGTTTAGGTAACAGGAATCACACGCTGACCTACTCTAAATAATCTAACCTATCTGAATTACAAAAGCACTAAAGCAGGTTTTTTGTTTGGGGTTTTTTTTGGTAAGATAATTCTGACCAGGAAAGGTTTCTCATTCCACATTAACCAAAGGTTAATGCAGTTAAAATAATAAATCCCGTGGGTTTATTTCCCTCAACCAACAGCAGAGGTGACTGAATGCTTTAGGGACATGGCAGTTTTTTAAAGATTTGAGTTTTGAGAGAGAAGGAGAGAGAGAAACATCGATGGGCTGCCTCCTGTATGTCCCCTCCCTGCATGGAAGAAGCCAGAAGCCTTCAGGCGCACAGGACAACGCCCAACCACCTGGGCCACACCGGCCAGGGCTGGGCCTGGCGGTCCTGATGCAGACAAAGCTCCGAGCGAATACACGGGTGGAAAGGTTACCTGTCCCAGGGATCGCCAGTCCAAACCAGCACTGCCGATGTAAACGTGCTGCTTGTCCACGATCCAGAAGGAGGACTGCAGCCGGCCCTTGTTGTAGGCGGACATGTTCATGTAGGTCACCTCGGCTCCTGGGAGGATCAAGGACATGCCGTCAGCCTCGGGGTCCGGGCCCTGGACTAGCAAGCAGTCATCCACCAGCCCCAACACTCAGGGTGTGCGACAGTTACAATTCCGGGAAGCCAACTATTTTTTTTTTAATATGTCTTTATTGATTTCACAGAGAGGGAGGGAGAGGGGGAGAGAGAGAAACATCAATGATGAGAGTCATTGATTGGCTGCCTCCTGCACGCCCCCTACTGGGGATTGAGGAGCCTGCAACCCAGGCCTGTGGCCCGACCAGGAATCGAACCGCGATCTCCTGGATCATAGGTCGATGCTCAGCTGCTGAGCTATGCTATGCCGGCCAGGCCCTAGATTTCATTTTTAATAGAAAATAATGTGCCAGCCTCTCTGATTGCAGCCTACAACCCACTGTGCAGAGGCCCGGGATACCGGGAAGAGATGCATGCGCATCCCAGCATCAGTGACCTCCAGGCCCACTGGCTGGTGGCCGTGCAAGACTGGTGGTGGTGGTGGTGGTGGTCTGGATCGTTGCAGGTCCTCCTGTTTAGCCTGATCACCTACTTGATGAACTAATGGTTAGTAAGATTATTGGCAATTCAAACTACTGTTTTTAGATGCCCAAAAGTGGAAAATCAAAGTACGTACTTGTTTCTATAATTGCTTTATAAAGTACATTCATGATGTCTAGGAAGCCCTAATTAAATCTTTAAAAAGCTACAGATGCGCTGCCGTCATGGGGGGCAGTCAGGTCCTAATCTGTTGCACTCATCAAGATAAAGTGGGCAATCCCAGTGTTTTACACCTTCCTGGGAAGTAAAGCATTAAAAACCAAACCATCCCAACCTACTGTTACAACTTCTTTGAGCTTTAACAGAGATGTTCTGTTGAACTTTAATAGAAAATGCTCCTGGTTTCAGAAGGATTCTGTTTCTTTGCAAAGTTATTCTTACAGTATTAACCAGATAATACTGAACTTTGTTTTGTGCATACATAATTTCAACGGAGAGAATACTCCATTAAAATTTCAGACAGAGAGGGAGAGAGAGAGACAGAGACCAGATATATAAGAAGAGATAAAAGGACAAGAGAGTAAAACAGAGAATGAGGCAGCGGTGGGACAGAGTCCACGGCCGTCCTTTCCCCTCAGACCAGCTCCACTTTGTACCTTGAGTTCCCCTAAATCTTCAGAACAAAGTACTTGTTATTTAAGCTGGTTTTGGAGGCGTTCAGTTTCTTTACTGTTACTTTTATGGTATTAATTAGCTAACTTTGTACTTTATTTTGTGCACACATAATTCTAGAAGTCCCACAACTTTTATATATTTATTTTTTAATATTTGACTAAAAACATTCAGTTCTAGCCTGAACGCTCATGCAATTTTTAGCAAGTTGCACAAATGGCACAATTCAATGTTTCAAATGCTGAAGATTTGAAAGAAGCATCCTGTCAAAATGCCCATCAGAATGACTCAAAAGGAAATACGCTAGTACCTTGGGGTTAAAAAGTGGAAAATAAAGTTCCACATTCCCCGTGGATCATCATGATGAAAATCAGACAAGCCCCACCTCCAAGTTTATTTCCAGAAAGTCGCTTTTTGAAAGCACATTAATAGATGCAAGAGGATATATGTAGATTACAAGTAAATTAGGAAGCACCATATACATATAGACACCTGGAAACCTTCCATCTTACTGAAAACTAGAACCTTAATAGTCCTATTAAAACAGTGATTCCCATGCCCGGCTGGTGTGGCTCAGTGGGTTGAGCAGCGTCCCACGCACCAAGAGGTCACCGGGTTGTGGGCTCGATCCCCAGTGGGGGGGTGCAGGAGGCAGCTGACCGATGTTTCTCTCCCCCTCTTCCTTCCTTTCTCTCTAAAGTCAATAAAAACATATTTAGAAAACAATAAAGCAGTGCTTCCCAATCAGTGGCAATCCTGCCCCAATCCTGTCCCGGGGCCCACGGGGTTATCTCTGGAGGCATTTTTGGTTGTCACAACTGGCGAGAGGAGTGCTACCAGCATCCAGTGGGTAGAGGCCAAGGATGCTGCTAATCCACAGAGCAGCCCCTACAACAAAGACTAAGGCTGCCCACATGCTGACGGCCCCAAGGGTCTGAAATCCTGCATTAAGGCTGTTGGTGAGCTTCTGCTTGATTCCACACCCCTGCCACTTTCCTCCCCTGCAACCACCATCCTGAGTTTAGTGTTTGCCACTGTCTTGTTTTTAAATATCGTATCACATGTGCATGGGCCCCTAAGAGCATTGTAAAGAGTTTAGCACCAGCTTCTGCGTGTATAGAAGGGAAATGCATCTGCATCAATAATTATAGATTTCTGGGAAGGCTTTCAGGTGGTCCCTGAGAGCAAAGTTTGCAGCAGGGACCTGTCTCATCAATCAACTGCTTCTTCTCCTGAATATATCAGCTTGTGTGAGCAATGAAAAAAAGATCAGAGCCAGCCCGTTCTTGGGAGCTTTCACAAAACCAGCACAGTTTCATCAATTTAATAAGCAACATTTTAGGAATCCATTGGCTTGAAGGCGGAAGGGGACGCCAAAGGGTGAAAAGCACTTGTCATGACATTCAAATCATTCAGTGGGTGGTATTCAGAAAGATTTTAAGGTAATCAATTACATGTTCCAGTTATGGGGGGAAAAAATGAATCTCAGGGCACATTTCAGTTTCAGTTTTAACATATCTATTCAAATACTGTCAAGACTATTTAGCAAGTTTTTCCCAGGTTGCCTTTGCTACTATGCTTTTAGCCTATGGGTTTAGACTCACGAGGGTATTTTCTGGGAGTTGTCTCTGCCCTCCACACTCAAAACACACAGGCAAAAACATGACCTGCAGTGGCTCATGGGTTAGACTAAACTATGACAGGGTCTGGGAGGTTGGCAGCCAGAGCCTGTGCTCATGACTTCCCATCTCTTACCCCTCCCTGCTGAGGAGACACCACTAGTCATAAAGGTATTTATTTCTGGAGAGAAAATTGGGGTATTATTTTTTTTTATGTTTCTACCTTCCTGATTTTCTGAATTTTGAAAAGTGAGCATGTTATTTTTATAATCACAAAAATAAGAAAAGCACATAAATAGCTCTTTAAAAAGTAATAATAATAAAAAGATAAGCAGCATTCTCTCTCCAGTGCCACATAAAGACCATCGGTGGTTCAAATCTGCTTTAGTGGAACTTCCTCCTTTCAGGAAAGGGCCCTGCCTCCTCCCACCACTTTGCATCCCAGGCTCCAGCCCCAGGAAGCTGGGCTGAGACCTCTTGCCTTTCTAAAGCCCCACCCCAAGGACATTCAGGTTCTTAAGCGTTTTCTTATTGCTGTCAGGGAACCGTTAAGTTTTCTCAACTAAGGTACAAATTCCTCCAGGAAATGAACCATTTTTTAAATAATGTTTATAACTTGGAGGGGCATATGTATATAATTTTGGAGGTTATGTATCTTGAATGTATATAATTGATAGGGAAAAAAAAATCATCAGATCTTAGCATTTTCAAGGGCTTGTTCAAGTTAGTTCAAGAAAAGAGATGTCTTCGGCTCATCACTAAAAGAGAAAAAATGATAATATTAATCAACCCGATTAGCAACAATGCTTCCTCGTATTTGTGTAGTATTTTCCGTGTTGTTGCAAAGAATGACAAAGGTTCCAGAGAACTCGCTCATTCTCTGGTGTGCTATCCGCAAGGATCTTTAGAGACGGGCACCAGGGATGGAGTCTCTGGCAAGTGAATGACCAGCTGACCGCACAGCTCTAGGAAGAAAGCTGACATTCAAGGCCCTCCCGCCCTCCTGCTCAAAACTGCACACAACCCGACCTATTCAGACACCGTAGAGGTGTCGCTCCTGCAAATAAGCCTATCGGCCTAGAGCTGCTCAAGCCAAGTCCAGGCGTCTGCTGCCTGTCTGCCCTCAATTCCCTGGGACGTTACCGACAAATTCCTCAAAAGAAAAGTTGGTCATGAACACAGGGCCCATCTTCGTGAACTTTCCTCCTGTCAGATCTCGGCCCACAAGGACCTGATGCCTTAATTGCTCCTGATGCATCCAAATAGCTTCCTTTCGAGTGACTGTACTTTCTCTGCGGGAGGATTAGTCTGAAACAAGCTAGGCCATCCAAGCCCTTCTCAGTGATTCTAAGGCCCTTCATTCACTGGCAACCCCCTTACTGGGAGGCTGTTTTATCTCTTACACTGCCAGGACCTCAGGGCTAGGAAGCAAAGTGCGTGTTCTCCTTAATCTCTTCTGTCATTTCCAAACTATGCTTCCTTCATCTTTCGAAATCCCCAGGCACATTACAATTCATGCCCCTTGGCTGAATTCCCCCTTCCTGCTGCTCACTGCTCTCCTTTCTCCACTTTCCAGTCACTCATTAAAGACTTGAGCTAACCGCTCTCTCTATTCCTCACTG